GGTACATGTGCAGATCATGCAGGATTGTTGCATAGGTACATACATGGAAAGGTGGTTTGCTGCCTTCATCCCCCCATCACCTATATCTGATATTTCTCCCCTGATTATCTATATTGTTTAAATTTAATTTATGTAAGAGAAACTCAGGTAAGTTAGTCATAATAATTCTGTGGCACAACTGCATGATAGTGGTACCCTCCAAGCTTTCACCTTCATAACCTGCACATGGACTCCCCCAGGGGCCAAGATAGAGTGAATGGATGGGCAGTAGGCAGACTGCTTTCACAAGGAGATAGAATAGGAGCTTGTTTTCAAAAGCATTGGCAACAAAAGCCAAAATAGACAAATGGGACCTAATTAAAATCCAGAGGTTCTGCAAGCAAAAGAAACAATCATTAGAGTGAACTGGCAACCAACAGAATGGGAAAAGATTTTTGCAATCTACCCACCTGACAAAGGGCTAATATCCAGAATCTACAAAGAACTAAAACAGATTTACAAGAAAGAAGCAACAAATCCATTAAAAACTGGGCAATGGATGTGAACACACAGTTTTCAAAAGATATATATGAAGCCAACAAACATATGAAGAAATGCTCATCATCACTGGTCATTAGAGAAATGCAAATCAAAACCACATTGAGACACCATCTCATGCCAGTTAGAATGGTGATCATTAAAAAAATCTGGAGACAACAGATGCTGGAGAGAATGTGGAGAAATAGGAACACTTTTACACTGTTGGTGGGAGTGTAAATTAGTTCAACGATTGTGGAAGACAGTGTGGTGATTCCTCAAGGACCTAGAAATAGAAATTCCATTTGACCCAGCAATCCCATTACTGGGTATATATCCAAAGGATTATAAATTGTTCTACTATAAGGACACGTGCACACGAATGTTCATTGCAGCACTGTTTACAATAGAAAAGACCTGGAACCAACCCAAATGCCCACTGATGACAGACTGGACAGGGAAAATGTGGCATATATACACCATGGAATATTATGCAGCCATCAAAAATGATGAGTTCGTGTCCTTTGTAGGGACATGGATGAACCTGGAAACCATCATTCTCAGCAAACTGACACAAGAACAGAAAATCAAACACTGATGTTCTGACTCATAGGTGGGTGTTGAACAATGAGAACACATGGACACAGGGATGGGAGCATCACACACTGGGATCAGTGGGGGGGAACCAAGGGAGGGACAGCAAGGGGTGGGGAGATGGGGAGGGATAACATGGGGAGAAATGCCAGATATAGGTGATGGGGAGGAAGGCAGCAAACCACATTGCTATGTACGTACCTAAGCAACAATCATGCATGTTCTTCACATGTACCCCACAACTTAAAACACAATAAAATATATATTTAAAAAAAAAAAAAAGGAGATTGTTTGTGAAAGATACCAGGATGCAGCCTCCTCTTTACCAAAACAAAATAAAATAAAATATCCTTTTACATTTTGATGACAGTTCACATGTCAGAGTTTGAGATTGTCCTGTGTTAAAAGGGAGTTATTAAATTTTAACCATGATCTATCATTTACTCCTCATTGAAGGTGACTCTATTAACTTGCTTTCTTGAAAGAATAATGAGATATAATGACTTTAAGTTTTTCCTGGAATCCCTTTATTATGTTCACTACCACAACTTCAATGATGACATATAGTAATTAATAAAATAATGATAGAGAAATACATGAGGACATACTGACCATGAATTAAGAGGTCACTTTTATTAAAAGAGCCAAATTGACTAGAAAAAAAAATTTAGTTGAACCTTAAATCCTAAGCTGCCCAAATTTGTGTGTGTTTTATAAATCATTATATTACATTAAATAACAATAATATGTGTGTAAAGAATAAATGAGTAATTACCATTCAATAGTACCTTTTATATATTTGCTAGTTTTAAATTTAAAAGAAGCATGTAGGTTTCCCTCAATTTACACAATACATATGTTCCAGCAAAGTTGATAATAGAGTAGACATCTGAGATAACTAAAATTATAAATTTGGATATCTTTTTCTGGAGGAGAATGGCCTAAGTTTAAAGTCAGAAAATAAATGACTTAACATAGTGGTCAAATCTGAGAGTTGGATTTTATATAGGTAAAAGGGATTTCTTAGTCTTTCAAAGCAATTCAATCCCATTCAACGAATAACAAGTTTCTGGTAGGTGCTGTGGGGAATGAAAAAAACAAGTAAGAGGCAGCCTTTTCTAAAACTCAAGCAAAATATGTTGAGCTGTAAAAGTATATAAGTAAAGAGAGGGTAACAATTAATAGCGGGGACTAGAAAAGAGGGTCATGAAGCAACGCGATGGGGATTATTTTGCCCATCTGAGCTGAAGGAAGGGACATTCTAGGCAGCAGTTCTGAAAACTCAGGATGCATAAAACTCACATGGCTGGCAGAGGGTAGGTGGGGGCTGCAGTGCTATATTCTGTATCAGCTACTACTACAATAATGATGTTTAACAAAACTCTGAAAAAGAGAATGTAGTGGTTTAAAATAACAACCTATTATTGTTTCTCATGATTATGCACCTTAGCTGAGCAGTTCTGCAGATCTGAGCCAGGCTCAGTTGATCTCAGTTGAGATCACTCATGTCTCTGGAATCATCCACGGGCCAGCTGTGGGCTGGCTGGTCTAGGGTGGTCTCAGCTGGTAGACTAGGCTTTGCTCTACATGGTCTCTAATCCTCCATTAGGCTATGCTGGGCTTTTTTTCATGCCAAAGGTAGAATTTTTCTGACCAGACTCAGAACTGGCACACAGTTGTCAATTCTGCTGTGTTCTATTGGTTACAGCAAGTCCAGAGCTAGCCATCCAGGGAGTAAGGAAATAGATTTTACCTCTTTATGGAACAAGCTACAAAGTCACATTGCAAAGGATATGAATACAGAACGGGGAAGAACAGGCATGATTTTTGCAAGTAGTCGACCATGGGGCTTCTTTGTTTCGACTGGAATACTGATTAGGTGGAATGAAGCTGTCTGGAGATGCTGGTTGAGATTAACTTGACCTGTTTATTTTAAATTCAGGAAGTAGTGAGGAAACATTGAAGTGTTTTGAGCGGGAAAAAATGTTCACAAGTCTTGCTTTAGAAAGAATAAGCTTTCATGGTTACAAGGTGAATAACAACATAGAGAGGCAGGAGAAACGGTATCCTTTCCAATCATCTAGGTCGAAATTAAGGAAGGTTTGAATCCATGTGATGGCAATAGGATCAGAATCAAGGCCAAAGGTAAGAAACTTCTTGCAAGGACTAAATGATAAGACTGCTGATGGAATGTCAGGTGAGAGGGACAAGTAGCATCTACTTTATTCTCCTTCCTTTTCCTGCTGTATACCAAGCTCAAATTTTTAACATAAATCCTCTTAGTCTACATTCAGAATTCCCAGAATATATTGTCCATTGTCACATGATAATATGGCATTTAATAATTGGCAGGACATAACACATCATATTGTAGGGACATGGGACTGAGATCCACTGCTTTGATCTACCATTCTAATGAGGCTAAGCTTTCTTATTTCATCCCAGACTGAAAGTTTTTCAAAAATTGAGGCTTTAGTTCATTTGGTCGATCTTCTTTCAATGGTTCTATATCTTCATAAATCTCGAATTTAAATTTTGTAAAGTATGTATTAAAAATAAAGTTGCACAAATATTATTTTCAATTTTATTCAAATCAAATAATGTTGCATTGATATGAAGAACTTTGCATAGAAACCACATGAATTTTAAAGACAAAATTCTAATACCTAATAATCCTATTCTGAAATAATTAAATGCAAAGGATATACATATTAAATTGCCATAAACATGTAGGCATTATTACACAATGCACATAATGGAGCCATAAAACATTTTATACTGCTTTATTATAAATAATTGGAAACAATATTTCATTTCTCAAACCAAGACAACAAAACGGTAAATAGCATGCTTTTTTCATTATTTTATTTTATTCTGGTAATATGAATTTGGAAATAGTATTCTTTATCCAAAGTCTGGTTAAAAAAATATCTGTAGGAACACAAAACAACAAAACACTCATTTTCTTTCCCTTAAATGAAAACAGTCAGAAGTTTTTAGAGAGAGAAGCTTACCTGCTATGAAGGAGTCACCAAGAATAGAAAAATGGTATCATACCTGCAGATATCACTTTAAGGCAAAAAGGGGTTGAATACAGATACAGAAATATAAAAAAATTCTTGATGGTAAACTTTAAAAATATTTTCTTAACAATGTGAATAGCTTTATTTTCTCAAATGGAGGAAACCACTAAGGCATAGTGAATCAAGTCACCAACTCAGAAACTGGTATTTCTACCTTGCTACAAACTGTCTCCTTTACAAGAGAGGAGACCCAATAGCTTTATTTCAATTTTCTCATCCCATAGTGACTCACATTTTAATAAAAACTGTTTACTGTTATAACCTTGGACACTTAGAGGCAGAGAAGACTTCTTGATAAAATACTGTAGTGACTTCAAGCACCCCCAAAATTCACTTAAAATAGATTATCCCATAGGAATATTTTCATTAAGTTATTTATAGCAACTAGCAGTCAGAATTTTTCTTATTCAGGTGCCTTTGATTAATTTTCTTTTTGTATATATTTCCCTTATATATAATAGTTTTGCCAACTTTTCTCCTTGATAATAATTTTTAAAAATTAAAAATTGCCTAAGGGAATGGCCTGAAAGAGAAAATTATGAAGGGTGTTGTATGTCATTAAGAAATATAGTAGAGTTCATTGAGCATTTTTGTTTATTAGCATCAATTAAGGACAATGTTGCATATTCCAGATTAATCAGCTATTAAGTTTATCCTGAATATAAACATGCTATGTACAATGATATTTATAATTATTTCATTTTTCATAGATTTCAAAGTGTTTCTTTTATAGAAACTGGAACAGTGTGAACCTGGTAAGCATGTTTCAGTTAATTAGCAAAATTTAAATTAGCAAGACATAACAGGGTGAGTATTGAAGTTCTAAAAATATTTTTAAAATAATGAAGTTACATGTATGTATACACATGCAAGTAGATACCGTAAAGTGAACTGCTCCAGAGTACTTGGTTTTACTTCAACTTAATATACTCCAAAATATTGCTTTCCTGTATAATATCAAAGGAAATATTAAATGCATGTATATTATTTTAGAAACTTGATATATTTTACATTCTTTTAACTTTATTCAGGCTATAAATATATTTATATATCATTCAATCAGTTTTTAGAGTAAATGAAAACAATAGTATGGGGGTAGTAATTTTTCACCACATATATTCTTCCTTGATTATATCTGTTTCTCTTCTGAAAACTGTATCAAAAATCAGAGTAATGGAGTTTGTTTTTATCACACAGTTATTGTCCATGTACAACAATTCATTATGGCTTACAAAAATGGAATTTTCATTTGAAGATGGGTAAGTAGAAATCAACTAATAAGTATGATACTGGAATTAGGCTTCTGAAATCCATTAACATTTAACCAACTCAGCAGACAATGCTGTTCTAAATTTTTATCAAAATTGTGCCAGAGTATAATTTGTTAGTAGGTTTGCATAGATATAACACCTTTTCACTGGTGTCATATACCTTTTCCAAAGGATTATGGCAGGCTTGTTTGTATTCTTCATGTATATTACTTTTTTTCACTCTTTTTTTTTTCTGTTCTACATGAAATTAATCATATTTATCATCTGCCTACCGTAATTCCAAAATAAGATGCACTAGTAGTTTGAAGCACAGCAATCTGAACAGTTTCTTCCCTTTTTAAAGCCCGACAGTCAGTGGAATTTTTGATAGTCGAGCCATGTGAGCCCTGTCGCCCCAAGTAGAGACTCTTGTGAACTCAAAAGGTTCCAGATTCACAGTCAAGAATGTTGGTGACTTCACATAACTACCATTTATTGCTGGGAGAAAGACAATATTGTTCACTTCTGAAGTGTTCAAGCGGTTTCTTGCCTGGTAGCTTCTCCAGATTTCTTTGTTGCTTTTTTTATAATCACTTCTGACATTGGGCTTTCAAAAATCTAAAGGTCGCATCATCATAGTTGAGAAACGTAAAGAGTAACTGGGCCCTCTGAAGTAGTGCCACTTTATTCCATTCAGTTTTCCATGGTTTTGTCCCGCACCATAGAACATTCCATTTAGATTGGAGGCGCCACAAGCATCAAACCACCAGCCTGAAAAAATAGTTTATAATAGAAGGGAGAAGGAGAGGCAACAATTTTAAGTAAATGGAATATTTGGAAATTAATGGCATTAACTGATGGGAAATTTGCTTGCTCTTGTTATGCTTATTTGCAAATAGGAGGCATCAGTAAATATATTCCCAGTAGTGAAACTGTTTTAAATGACTTCTGATTTAAGATTTGTATGATCAATCAGAGAGAGCAGTGCTCTAATGGAAGGCAGCTTTCAATGTGACTCCACTGGAACTCACTGCTCCTTATAATGATGGGAAGCCTCTGGGCTTCAAGATACAATGTACATTAAGAGATGGATTTACATGTAAGACAAGTTAAATAAGGAAAATCCATATACCCATAAGACACATTCCATCTGTTATTGGGAATAGAACGAGTAATTATTAGTGAAGAAATTCAGAAACTTTGACAAGAAACTGAGATCTAAATAGAAAGATGTTCTTCATCTACTGCATACGTTTGTCAAGAATTGGCCCTAAGCTGCTTCTAAAATTAATTGGATTAATTGGATACTGTGCAATGACTATGATACTCACAACGACTTTGAATTAATGTGCCTTCTCTGGAGCTTATAACAATAGAAAAAGTGTTCAGCAATAGTGGCCATTCAGGTCCTGTACAGCCATATTTTGTCTATGGTTATTTAAGGTACTTTCCAAACTTAGTAAAAAGAAATACAACTTGATGAGTAATGTGGAAATCATATGCTTGTATAGCTCTCTGTAAGGATAACTGGATAACTCAGTTTTATTTTTTAAATAAATTAAGTTCTTAGATTTTTAGATAAAGCATAGTGCTTTTTCCTGTCTCCTGAAGTAACACTATTGAATCTTTAGGGAGGGATTTATGCCAGAGACATTCTGGCATATTTTTTATTTGGATACAGTTGACCTCTCTTTGATTACAGACTTATACCTAAGGGACTAATAGCTAAAGAAAGAGAAAGCTGTACAGCTGATGTTTAACTGTAACATGAGCACCATCTTGCAGAAACTTTAGAAAAAGTTAAATGGAGAAAAGCTAGTTCTCATTTTTCAACTTTAGAAGATGAATACCGCTGGCTTGTGTTTATAAAGTCACACTAGAGGCGTAACAAGCAGCATTAATCGCCGGTTCATACTGGGGAACCATGAGGTATGTCTTGATGAATTTGGAAAGACACTATATTCAGTGCAGTTTTATCAACTGTATGCAAACAACATAAATGTTAATGTAGTCAAAACACGAAGGACAAAAAGGTTCTTGTTTGGCAAAGAAGGAAGAACTGCAAGTAAAATCTTACCTTTGTTTTTCTTAAGATTAATTCTTCTAATTTTTGATCAGTACAGCTGGTAAAAACATGCTATTTATATTATAAAAAGCATTCTAATACTAGTGAATTTATTTGCCCAAAAGACTCTTTCTAAAGGACTAAAATGAAACTCTAGGATGAAATTCAACTTGATTGCTTCTATGTTTTAACTTTTCTCCTCCTTTTCTGTGACCTTCTTAAGGCACTTTTCCATTGCATTAATGAACTTTTTATAGTCTTGCAAATACGCGCCATGGTTTCTCAAGCAAATACACTTACTCTATTGTTGAGACTGACAACGATTCATAGAATTCTCTTCCAAGCTGCATTAGGGTAAAATGTGTGTTTTTGTTTATATGGTTTATAGAAAGTCACAAGACTCCCAGAGGAGTGTGGAAAGACAGATGTCTGTTGTAACAACAGCCTGGCAATAAAGGGCACAGGCTAAAGGACATGTTCATTGGGAAGCTGGGAAAGCTTAGGAAAGAGACAAGGAACAGTAAGAGCCTGTGAGACAGTCAGGTAAATTGATCTTGTGTATCTTTTCTAAGGAATAAAGTGGGATAATGTTTGCAATAAGCAGAATGGCATTTTGGAGACATTGAAAGAAGGCCAAGGATGGCTGGGGTCACTGTCAATGAGGGAAATAGTCACTTAAAGCTGAAAGGGTCTGAAGCAAACCACCAAGTCTTTTGTTCATCATCCTAAAAACAATGGAAAGCCATGGTTTGTATATTGACCCATCTCCTGTACTTAGTAGGACACCAGAGTTTGCTTCATAAATGACCTGTGGGTCACTGCAGGCTTGTTAGCTGATTGATTGACTGATTGATTGGTTCTCCTTGTACAGTCTTTGTTGTCTGAAGTTGTTCAGCTAACTAAAATGCTATGTTTGATAGATACCCCAATATATAACACCTGTGCTTATTGTATTCATTTTTTTCTTTATAAATCCATTCAATATATAATAATTATTAAACGCTGTTATACAATACTCAAGATAGATGTGGTCCTTGCCTTCATGAAACTCACTTCTAATGGGAGAAGCAGATGAATATATGTAAGCAGTCACATAAAATAACTACTAGGTCGGTGCAAAAGTAATTGCGGTTTTTGCTATTACTGTTATTGACAAAAAACGCAATTACTTTTGCACCAACTTAATATAAAGTATGACTTAAAAATGTCATGAAGAAAATAAGTAGGAGTGCTGAAGGAGAATAACTCGACTTTTCACATTCATGAAAGAAGTTGATATTTAACAAGACCTGAAGGAGGAGAGAGGCAGCCCCACGAAGATGGGAAAAGACCCTTCTAAGGAGAGTATAGTCCCTACAAATGCTGTGAGGAAGAAACCAAGCTTGGTGTGTGTAGTGACATCAGTGCAGCTGGTGCACAGTGAGCAAGAAATGACTTTCAGGAAATGAAGGTGGAGGAATAGGCAGTCCTGGTGAGCAGTTCAATGTTTATGGAACAATTTACAGTTGAGCCAGCCTGCTTGGCTGATCAGGCAAACAAGTAAAACATTCTCTACGAATGGGAACCACATTGAACCAGAAGAACCAGATCTGCTAGGTTAAATGTTTAATCGAACACTGTTTAGAGCCCTCATTCTCTATGATCTGCATCCTGAGCATATGTGACAGCATGATGAAAAAAAATAGTAGAAAATTCAATTCTGCATGTATTAACAAATGGATAGGCATAGGGAACAGGAATTTTTGGAAACAAAATTTCTGCCTTTAAAGAATGCACAGTTTTGTGTAGAAGACCAATAAAATGCTACAAATTGAGATGATAGCCATTAAACAAAGAGATGAAGAAAAATTTACGGAAATACAGAGGCAGTAGGTGCTGACTATCTGAAGGACCACAAAGCTTACTCATTCAGCAGCTGTTCTGCTACCTGAAGGACAGGTATGAGTTCATTGGATGGAAAGAGCTTCTATACAGTCTGTACTCTGGAAGAGCAGGAGGGAGTGTCTGCCAGGCAGCTTGGTTTGGCTAGAGTGCCAGTGTGTTAAAGGGTTGCGGAATATTGGGCTAAAAAATAAACAGGAAGGAGAACATAAAGGTTTTAACTACACCTTTAGACATTATATTTTGGGCAATGGGAAGCCTAGAGAGTGCCAGAGCAGCAGTTAGAAGACAAACTTTTCATGCCTACTTCATCAGTTAATAACCAAGAGATCCTACCAAGAGATCCTATGCAATAGTACCAATAGTATTTCATATTTATTGAATCATCCATATGAAGATATTTACATGCATTTTCTCATTTTATCTCCCAAGCAGCATTAAGCGAAATGGCAAGTACCACAATGAAGATACTAATGCTTACAGAGTTTCAGGAACTTTTTAAGGTCGCATTCATAATATCTAGATTATAAGAGCTGACCAACAATTTTCACAGCACAATTTTAAGGATAAAATAAGATAATGCACTATTATAGTCTGCAAAAGCCTACTTAAGTGCTTGCTGTAAGTTATCTAGTAAACGGTGCAGAATGTTTAGGGCAGGAAACAAAGGGACAAGACCTTGTGGAGCATCATAATAATTTAATAATGAAGACAAGGTCATCGGTGCCAATGTATTTTCTTATTTGCTTGGTGGGGTTTATTAGAGAAATACAAAAATAATTTAGACCCAAATAAGTACAGCTGTACAATGTTCATGTTATAAAAACTTGGCGTTTAAGTTCCTAATTTTTTTAAATGTTTGATTTCATGACAAATCAAGGAGCTTGAAATGTTCAATTAACTCTTTATCTTAAGACTAGTGGGGCACGAATTCTGTGATCTGTCAGAGAACAATTGATAGTAAAGATAATGAATTAAGATAAAATAAAATAGCAATTATTTCTCATGACAATTTCAGTTTTATTATAAAAAGATCCTAAACTTCAATGTAGCAGAAGTAATTATTTCTATGTAGGATTCTGTTTTCTCTGATTCATTCAATAAAACAAACTAAATAACCTTTTCATATCACATATTTCAAATAGTTTGTCCACTTTCTACCTTTATTTTTAAAAATTAAACATAGGCAAGTCTTTTAAACACAAATCCTGAAAATATGTGGTTTAAGCACATATTTTTTTTTTGCAGGCAAAAGTATAGCAGACTTTTTCGATGCAGGCAAAAATATAGCAGACTCTTCATTACTCAGACACATTCCGTGTATTTATAGGTGATCATAGATACTTAGTACATATGGTAAATCTGCATGGGATGTAGATGTTCTGTGAATATACAGTAGAGTATTCCTGAGTTTGCAGTTCCTCTCTGATAAGATACTAAAGAGCTGAATTATATATCCTGTGCAATCCTGGGAAAATATAAACTTCGTATTTTGTATATGCTTGAGATTAACAAATAAGAAATATCCTAAAGCAATTCATCTAGAGAAGGCACTTCAAGCCTAAAAGAACTCAGTGATACAAACAAAGGATAAAAACAACAGTTACCAATCTGCTATTGGGACAACCGATAAAATGTCTCAAATGGTGTTGTTGTTGTTTTTGAGATGGGGTCTCACTCTGTCACCTAGGCTGGAGTGCAGTGGTGCATTATCATATCAGCTCACGGCAACCTCCGCCTCCTGGGTTCAAGCACTTCTCCTGCCTCAGCCTCCTGAGTAGCTGGGACTACAGGCATCCACCACCACACCCGGCTAATTTTTGTA